TACAACTGGCTATATTTAGCTACCATTAGCTACAGGTAGCTACAGTTAGCCATGTTAGGTACAACTGACTATAATTAGTTGGAGTTAGCTATGTTAGCTACAATTAGCTACAGTTAGCTACTGTTAACTACAGTTAACTACTGTAGTTAGCTACTGTTAGTAACATTTGGCTACAGTTGGTAAACGTTAGCTACAGTTAATTACAGTTAGGTTGTTAGCTACCATTAGCTTCCATTTGCAACAGTTAGCTAGTGTTAACATTAATGGCTCCAAAATTTTAAGATAGTTTTAGAATGGCACCATCAACTGCATTCAGACTAGCCACTAGTTCATATTTCATGTCATAAATAATCTAAACAGCCTCAGTTCAGAAAATAAAAGATAGATATGGTGACCAGATTGCTGAAGTTAAATCGTTGGTTACGTACTATAACCCCTGATTCTATGAGTATAGGCGTAGCCCTTTAAGGCTGTCGCTGGTGGGTTTATCCCTAAGGCGCTCAGCGCTGCACTGAAAAACTTTAGTCCATGCCCACCTGCTGTGTGGGCCTCACCCCCGGTCCATATAAATTACAGTGAGACCGGGTAATCGGATCCCGACATAGCTTTTTTTCTTCAGCCATTTAGGAACCAGTGAGGCCCAGAGCTTAAAGGGCTACGCCTATACTCATAGAATCTGGGGTTACAGTACGTAACCAACGTTCTATTTCGTATAGGCTTCGCCCTTTAAGGCTGTCGCTGGTGGGTTCAAGGTGAAGCAGGATGCAGTCTATGCCTCACTGGGTCCATTCAGACACAACATTGTAAGAGTCCCACCGCCTGCAGCCTGCCTTGCTGATGGCCGCTGATTACCAACACCTGGCGGCCATCAGCCTGATGAGCCTCTCCATCTACTTAAGGCTGCAGCCCGGTGTGATTCAACGCTGGAGCATATCACCTCTCATGGTACAGTACTGTTGAGGTAGAAATGTTTAGGTGAAAAGAATTTGTTCACCTTCTGTTCTTTTTCCCAGTTTCCTGGTTCCTTCGTGTTTTGAATTCTCCTCGTGGCCTGACCTGGATCCCTCAGCCTGTCAGGTGTCCCTCGTGTCTCTTTGCCTCCAGTTGCCAGAGGGAAAAAACACAGATCGGTAAAACCCTCCACTCTGGAGAGGGAGGCGAAGGTGGAGTCGGATGTCTTCAGCTTGCCGGCCCAGCTGCAGCCTCGTTCCAGTCTGACGTCACAGCTGGACAGTGAGGCCAGATGGGGTCATGGCGACGAGTCAGGGCAGAGCCAACCTTGCCGCCAGATCATCCGATCAGGGCGGAGGAAGGTGAGGGATAGAAAGTCCCTTGTGTTAACATCCTCCTGGATTATGCCGGGCAGCTCCGAGAGGAGGGCGCCGACGGCTGGGAGCAGTGTGGTCGCCGACGTGGGAAGATCCAAGGTGGCTGAGCATCCGCTCGGCCACTCGTCTTCGAAGGAGCAGCTCCGCATCGCCTTTCTCTGAGAAGTCATTCAATTCACTGCGTGACTCTGTGTCAATGAATGCGGTGGCATCGTCCCGCGCATAGCATCCCGCCACAGAAAAAACATTCAGCGGGGCTGCTGCTAACATCGCCTTTTTGAGGAAATAATTCGATTACCGCAAGGACAAAACACGTTAGAAAAGGCGATGGCGTCGTCCAGCAGGTAGCGACCCGCCACGGAAAAGCACTCCTCAGCACTTACCTTGAACAAGGCTGCTCGTCTCTGCTTCTCCTCGGGGAGGAAGAGCTCACCAGGACGGCAGGAGGTTGGCGTGGCGGAGACCCAGGCATCCTTAGCAAGTGTTGTGCCGGTCAAAGCTGGACAACTTTTCCTTCTTCATTCTTCTGACAGTGCTAGCTCGCTGGCTGAAGAAAAAATGGGAGCCGATTACCCGGTCTCACCGTAATTTATACGGACCGGGGGCGAGGCCCACACAGCAGGTGGGCGTGGACTAAAGTTTTTCAGTGCAGCGCTGAGCTCCTAGGGATAAACCCACCAGCGACAGCCTTAAAGGGCGAAGCCTATACGAAATAGAACTGGGGACATTTCCAGCTCAGAGACCAAAAAGGATGAAATGTTATCAAGATTAAATTAAAAAACTGAGACAGTTAGTTTCTTTTATTTTTATATATTTATTCATGTTTAAACAATAAAATTCAAATATAACAGCAGGAATGTGTCTCTACACACTGTTAACATTTCCTAAGAGTAATAAAATGAATAAAGTAATAATAGTAACAGAGTACTAAAACTGGGGGGAGGGTCATGGGTATGTACTAGTAAGTGAGCATGCATACCATTTGAGAACGTATGTCCTTACATAGGTGTATATAAGTACACAGTGTATGGTTACGTAGCTGATGTGTATTTATAATGAGTGTATGTGTGAGGTGAGTGAAGGTCAGGTAGTCCGCTGACATGAGCTCATCTCTAGTTATGTGAGGCCTCCTCTGTCTGAAGAGATGGTGG